CCCCCTTATATTTCTATATTTATATCAAGGTTGCATTTGATGGGAGGCAATCTGGTTTTTAAGGGGCAATGATCCAGAAAAGAGGTCCAAGAAAGTTCTCAAACTATGGGTACAATTACACATGATTTGTAGTTAGACAACAGAGAAGAGTCTGCTTACCGTCTTTAAGAGCCAGAACAAATCCCACAACAATGTATACCAGACTACAAAAGGTTGAAAATCCCAGCCAAACACCCAATGCAGACAAATGGGGTGTAGCAACGGCAAATAGACAACAAACCACCCCAGCTATGGCTATAAAGTAAGGAAGCTTCGCGATATCATCATCTCTGAAAAGGACATAGGAAGCCTGAAATAAAATGTCAAAAGAATCAAAAAACGAGAAACAACAATCAACTGAAGCCTTCTGGGTTTTCTTTTCCGACTTGTTTGATATCATCTGCATACCAAGTCAGATAAAAGTTTTTCATAGTTGTTATCGACAGTTGTTTTTCTACAACAGAACAATATGAGAGAAAAGAAGGACGAAATCATGGATAACTATATAATGTTCCATGTATGCAGTGAGTAAGAGAAAAGGTAATACCAAAACGGTTTCCAGCACAAGCAGCGAAGGAGTTTCTCAAATACGCAAGTATGTTACCTTAAGTGCACTTCCGGCTAAGATAATATATCCAACATTGATCATAAAGAGATTTGCATATTGGAGAGCCCATGTAAGAGAATAAGCTTTGTCGCCTGCATCACCATAGCCTCGCTAAATAAAACAAAATATCAAAATTTTCTAATACCAAAGAGAAGGAGATTAAATTCATCCAATTAACAAATACAAGCCGATATCTTTGCACATCGTTCACCATTTCCCTATTATGTCTTACCATATATGAATCCAGCAAGGTCTCGGTATCTGATATGTCTCTTTCCTCCGAATTCGTGAAGCTTGGCAACTAGAGAGTTTGCATACAAGGATATCATAGTTGCTAGAATTAGTCCCACGACACCACCTATCCAGCCCAACGGAACCATGATAGTACCCGAATACCCCAGCACATAGGCGCTGTTAATCCCGGTTGTGAGAACAAATCCCACTTGAAACCACGAATCTACATTTACATAACATGTAAACAAAAATATTATTTAAACAGACCAAAAAAAAAAAACGAAAGAGAGAAAATAAAAGGCAGATATACGGAACTCCACCGTGGCTCAAACTATCAGAAATGAGTCTTAACATTTACATACTACTACAGGGAATAAAAAGGTTTCACTGAGACAAAATCCATAATTCACTGAAACCTGAGAAGAGGATGATATTTACACCTTAGAACCAGAATTTGTCAAATGTTGTGAAGAACTAAATCATGAATTTGACCCCGGAATTACAACAAAAAGCACAAAACCAAAGTTCAAACCAGTCAAATAAATTAATAAATGTATATAAAAATAATGAATAATACCATGACTAATCTGGTGGGCAGTCTCCGGAATTACAACGGAGACATCATCAAGAAGAACCTTTCCGCCGGTACCCGACCCAACAACGACGTCGTTTACTTCCTGGATCCCCATATCTCTGACTCCACCTCCCAATAGCCGCTCTCGCTCCTCTTCCAATACAGTCGACAGGCCTTCTTCTCTCCCTGTATTTCGCTACAAACATGTTCGTCAACAAGACCATGCCAGCACACACACACACACACACACAGACGAAAACACACACAGTGACCGTGTACCTGTGTATTCACAGAAGAGAGAATGAGAAGGGTTGATGACGAGAGGATGCCGGCTATCGACCTCTTGCACAATAGAGGGCGGCGTTCCATAAATACCGCCACGGCCTTAGATTTCGTGGCGGTGTAAATGATTTTTCCTCCCCCTCCCCCGGCCACACAGGTTTCTTCACTATTTTTAGATTTTTCTAACCTTTTTTTCTCGTGACCCTTCTTCCTCACTAGTTTTACTCCTGCTTTTGCACGAAAAACGAGGAGATAGAACATAATTCTTTATAAAATAAGAAGTGCGCTCAAATGAGAATGAATCACAATGAAAGAAATAAGAATTAATATGGACTACTTGATCTACTATTTCAATGGCTAAGATGTACCTGTCAATTTTTAATTCCTGATCAATTATCAATGGCATTCTCTTAATTAGAGATGAATGGTGTGGTTAATTGTACAAGTTTGAGGGTAATTTTGTAAATTTGTAAAAAGCACTTCCCACACCCATGGCCCACCCCTTCACCTTCCTCACAAATCCCGTCATTCCCCCCAACACACATACATACACACACACACACACAACCACATTACCGCCATTGTCTGACGCCGCCCGTCGCCGCCATCTCCGACGCCGTCTTTGCATCTCGTCTCATGGAAGTCGCCGCCGCCGATGAACCCGCACCTCCGCTGGTCGAACTCTGCACAAGGTCACCTGATCCGCCGGCGGCAAGACTGTCGTCGTCACAGGCTCAGTCGACTATGTTGACATTGGTTCCACAGCCCGCCGCTGTCACGAACCGAATCACCATCAGGAACCTGCTCCGCCGCCTACACAGCCGCGCCACCATCAACAACCTGCTCCGCCGCCGGCACGGTCTGACGCCGCCACAAGCTCAATCGGTCACGGTGACACCACCGCCACAGCCCATCCACCGTCACCATCCCCCAAGCACACACAATCTCTGATTACAGACACAGCCTCTACTGGCCGCTGTGTCATGGTCACCACCGACGACCAACGTGTCGGCATAGCTCCGGCCATTCTTGGAGAGGTCTGCCCACATAATTCTCCGTCGCGCAGTCGCGGTCATCCCATAACCGAGGTGCAGCAAATGTTTTCGACGACGTAGGGTAAAGCTTATGTTTGCCGGCAGGATCGAGCTGATGTTTGCAACGAGAACCTTATTGTCCGGCGGTGTGGCAGATGGCGGCTGGCGTCGGACGGTGGGCGGAGGGCGATGGGATGAGAGTGGCTGAATGTGTACAGTGACGGGATTGATGTTGTTGTTAGGGGTTGAGTATTGGAAATTAGACAAGAACAAGGGACTTTAATGAAATTTTAAAAATTTTAAATTTATTGTATTTTAATATGTGAGTCATTATTATCATTTATTAAAAGTTTAAATGCACATTTATGGTATGACAAATGCACAATAATGTGCATTAATTTGCACATTAAACATCATGTAACTTAATAAAATCATATATTTGCCACCGTTTATTGTTAGGTTCGATCATTTCGGCCACTTTGAATAATATTATTGCCTTATAACCGAAATTTTCAAAATTATAGGAATTTCAATTTATTACAATTTATTGTACGAGATACTTTATAAACTTTTTTTATATAAAAAAAAAAAAAAACAACAGCACATTAATGTTAATTATAGTGCACAATACAGTGAGTATATATGCACATTAAACGTTAAAATAAATTACGGAATGAATAATATTGTACATCGATCGATCTTTTTAAAACAAATATAAGCGACCAAAATTATTGAAAATTTTTAACAATTGATTTTTTAATGTGCAGTTCGTCTAACTGTATTGTGCACAATTTCGGTCGTTATTGTGCAACAATCTGACTTGGTTAAACTTTTTATCTCAAACTAAATTAAAATTGGACCGAATTAATTGGTCATTCGATTGTTTATCTAGATTAACTAAAATATATGAAAAAATTATTATTTATATTATAACAGTATATGTAGTATTAACGTTTGAAAAATATATTAAAATAAAATTTGGTTAGCTTGATATTATGAAAACGTTGTTATGTTAATGTGCGTTTGAACGGAATACCATAAAGTGCATTATTTAATATATTATAAACATTATTTATATTATAAAAATATTACCCAATTATTTATATTATGAAAATATTATTTACTACTTTAGTATATGTACTTAATATTAATTTTTATATATACAAAAATAATACTTTGTATATTGCTCGATCGGTTCGGTTATTTTAAATAATAAAATCAACATCGAATCAAATTTTTACAAGTACAAAAGATAATCGAACAAAAACTTCGAACCGAAAGTTTCAGTTTGATCAATTTCATTCGCTATTGTGCAATTTGATAGTTATTCGTGTGCAATCCATCTAACAATGATGTGCAGCTTGATACTCATATATGTGCACCTTCGTTAATAGTATTGGCATTCAACACTTTGGACATTCAATAATGTGTATTTTTTTCTTTTTTTTTTTTCAAATTCAATCTAAAACGGAACCGAACAATTGACTATTTTGTTGGTTAATCAAATTAATGTAAATAAGCAAATTAATTTATCATTTATATTATAAAAATATATTAAGTATATTAATATATTTAGTTAATATTTATTATGTATTTTTTGGTTGAAATTACATAATAAATATATGAATAAAAAACTAAAAAATAATATTTTTATAAATTACATATTTCACCCATGGACTAAATTGAGAATATTAAACTTTCTTAAATTGCAATAAAATCCTTGAAGTTTATCTAATTTCCATCATATTGCCCCAAAATTAAAAATATGTTCTTCCTCTTCCATAATTCTCTGTTGTGACTCAATCACTACCGACAGCGTCCGATGGCGGGACGTTGACGGTGATGGTCGATGGTTGGTGTTTGTGAGAGCCGGCGGGTCTCGGTTGGGCAAGGAGATCGGAATGTGGCGGGAGATCGGACTGTGCTTGAAGGTTGCTCGTTGTCTTGTTTCCAGTGTCTGTTGGTGCGCGCCGTTCTTCGGCTTCATCGGCCGAGGTCGGCTTCGCCGGAGACTTAGCGCCGACCACCAGTGAAGGCAATGACGGGGCTGTTATAATTTTGGGGGAGAGAGTGTGTGTATGGCGTGGGGGTGGCGGCGGCTGGGATTTTCCGAGAATGACAGTTCCTCAGCGGGCTCCGACAGTGGCGAGGATTTTCCGGCGGCCGTGAGAGGTGGTCTGTGAAAGCTTGTTGTGCGTGTATGTGAGAGGTGAGAGATTATGTTGTGCACGTGTGAGAGGTGAGAGAGAGAAGATGAGACGTGAGTGAGAGAAATATGAGTGTCAGGTAGGCCACGCGAGTTGATAGGTATTGGCGTGGGTCCCAGTGTTGTGTGTGTAAAATTACAACATTATCCTTAATGAAGGGATAATTTATGTTTTTTTTTAGTCATTGGATCATATGATTGAATGACTGCGATGTATTCTTATTTCTTTCACTAAACACCATTCTCACCGGAGCGTGACCCTATAAAATAAAATATAAAATAAAATTCATAACTTAATAAATGGAAAAAATTAATTTTAAAAAATAATTTAAACTAGTACAACACCCGTGTATTACACGGGTGCTTGAGAAAAAGTAGTTTGAAAATTTAAATATATTTTATAAGAATATATATATTATTATATATTTATTATGACACTTTTTATTTGTGCAACTTACTTGTGTTATCTTATACTATTCTTTTTTAACTTACAATATATAACTACATTGCATATAAATATATCAATTGAAAATAATTATATTTTTCAAATGAGTTTTAATAAATATTATTATTTTTTATTATTATAAAGATAAATATAATTTATTCATTTCATATATACAATATGAATGTCAAATCGAAGATCATCAAAAGATGATTAGTTTGATATATTATATATGTAAAACCGATAAGAAATACAAAAGTTATCAACTTTTAAAATACATTTATAATTCAATAGCTTATTGAAGGAAACAAATCAAAATTCAGGGATATATTAGTCACTTATTGTCTCACTACCTAAAATTACAAAGAATTAAAGGGTTATATTAGTAAAAACGATATTAAAATACCTAGTTAGCTAAATAATATTTATGGAATAATTTGAACCTAGATTATTAATTATTAATATATCAATATTATTTATCCAAACCTAATTACGAAGCATGATTTTTCGCCAAATAGGATTCCGAAGCACCAGAAGCAGCCACGTAGGCTCAGCGCATTCGGGAATTATATATAGGGAGGATATTATTAAACACTTTTTTATATACAACCTTTGTCATAATTCTCATCGTGAAATATGTATTTATATAATATCAAAAAAAATATAGTATCAAAATAAATACAAAAATATTTTGTATCTAAGGACATCAAAAGGCGTTGCAAAAATGAACACAAATCAAAATGTGACCTGTCAAAATAAATTGTGTAACTGAAAGTTAAATATTATTATTAAATGTGGAACATATTTTTATTAAATGAACACTTATTTTTATTAAATGAACTCATATTATTATTAATTGCTAACTTGATAAAATTTATGAAGCTTACCGGCAATTCTATATGGATATAGATTTGTCCTCCCTTCTCCTCTTAGACCTATTTGGACGAGTTCATCCCCTCATTCTTAACTTCTAGTGGAGCCATCTGCTCGAGCTTCGCGAACTATTCCTCAGTATGCTCTATGTTTACGTACTTTCTACACCTTTTCAGCACCTCATTATAAGTTCTGGTCGGTGTCTTAGCAAGAGAGCTTCAACACAGACCGGTTCGCAGGCTCCTAATCTGACCTCCAGTCTTAACTGGACCGATTTCCGCAAGTTGGGCCGCATCTGAATGGTCCTGGGCCGCGCTGACCCGAAGTGGGTCGCTCGGATTGGGCCTGGAGACGTGCTGGTGGGCTGAAGGACGGATCCGCGCGCGGGCCCGCTTCGGGCTTCGCAGGCTGCGTCTGGGCTGGGGTTGTGAGGAGTTCGGGATGCGCGGGCCCAGCGCCCCGCGCGTCCTCTTCCTTCCCCTGATGGACAGCTCTGCGTTTGGGCCATCCTTGTTGGGCTTGTGTTTGTCCCATTTTTGTTGTGTTTTTGCTTGTTATTTTTCCTTTCTTTTCCCCCATTTTGTGTCTTTTGATCGATTTTTAGTTCATTTTAGTGTTTATTGTGTATTTCGCTCTATGTCGGTCTTCTTTGTATTTTCCGTATATTTTTCCGGTTTCTCTCTGTTTTTGGTGTGCAGGCTATAGG